TTTTTTTATTATCATTATATAAATATACAAATATTCAACATAATATATTATTTCTTTCAGAAAGAAAATTGTGATCATTTCAATTGAAAATTAGGGAGTATCGGAGTGCTCTATGTTACGCATATGTTTGAAACGCATAGGTTTGAATTAAAAAGTTTCTATGTCACGATATGGATATTTCCAATCGAATAAGCATTCGATGGACGTTCGTTGGTGAGATACGCGTTGTTTTCACATCGAGGCGAAATATCAGGCGCGAGTAGCGGACGGGGGGGGCGGGGAACCGAGGGGTTTAGATTTCGCCAAAACGCGAGGCTGAAAGGCAGCGCGGCGCGCGGATTGTTCGCGCCGCGAGGAGAACAATGCAAACAATGGCCGGGACGTAGCGCTGCGGTGAGCCCGGGCTTACGCGGCGAATACAATTACATTATGAACCCGATTACCATTTAAATGGAAACAAACGTGAAATGCTAAAATACACCGGCAAGCCCGCCCGCGCGACGCACGAAACCACGCAAGCACCCCCCTCGATCATCGGTATGCAAATTGTGCACGAGCATTGTATACGGAATGTTCTGCACTTACCGAAAAATATTTCACGCACGGATTCTTTGATGAATGTAGATTCAAGTTTTTTCCTTAGCGATAATCTAAACTAATTCCATCTGTATCAAGTACAAAAATTTTTTTCTTTTCAAAATAAAATCGCGGTCACGCGATATTTAATAAATTTAAATTAATTTATATTAATTTATCCATATATTTGCAAAAATAAATTATCATTGTATTAGCGATACAATTTTTTCAGTTGACTACCGCAAAGACGCGACATTTTATTTGACAATCAGAGAAGAATAAGTTAGCTAGCGATGTGATATATTGTAAGATAGAACGCTTAATGTGACCTATCGGCACCCCGACTCTAATTATTATGCACTTAATTTCTTAATGAAGCGCATCGAGGGAGGGTCGTAGAAAACGGCGTGCTCGTGCACTGATTTCACGGGCCACCTGTCGCACCGATGCCTCATCCGCCCTATTCGTTTCGTCGCATCGGTCACGCAGGGTGTAAGACATTATTCTACACGGAGGGTAGCAAACCGTACCGAGGAAACTAGCTCTGACTTATCTGCTGTAATCGTGAATGGGAACTCTACTTTCGCTGTAATCTAATTTCTTACTACTCCATACGAATCATTTCTTTTACAATATTTTTTTCTATTAAAAAAATAATTTATATATCTTCAGAAAGTAAAATAAAAGCTTTTAAAAGGCACAGATGCTTAAAATATCATGATTCCTTCAAAAGACAATAAATGTCCATAATCATATCTACACTGATAAAAGGCAGACATCAATAAATGATCACATGATTAACTGATACGGAATATGTAATTAATGTAAAATATCGTAATCGTAAAAAAAACTCAAATTCATGTGTTTATTAATACATACAATAAAAGCTGAAGATTTAGTTCATGACTTTTGATAATATTAAAAATATTATTCTAAATGTTGAATGCACACTGTGAGAAATGTCATTTAGTTGAATTAGTTTTCTAACAAAACCTCGCTAGTCTTTCCCGACCGTCGTCATCATTATCATCATCATCTGTCGCTGTTTGAACACAATGTTAGTGAAACGACAAATATGTCAGATCGCAAGGAAACAAAGGGAAGCGCGCCGGGCGTCGGAACACCCCTTGGACTCAATCGATTAGAAGTGTTCACCTTCTCGCGGCAAGAGTGAACTACTCACGCCACCAGTTCGACCAATTCGATCACTTTTTTTTCCTCTCAATTTGACACCGATCGATCTTTCGGATGGGAGACGCCGGTCGGCAATCACAACGTCGGAACGATCGTGAAAAAAAAATTAAGTAGGAGTAAGAGATGTTGACGAATCTCGACGACTGCGACGACTCTTCCTCGGCGTAGTGTCATCGTGGAACAGACGGTCGTCGACAAAAAGGGCGGTTAGGGGATAGGTGGATCTCTCCCTTAGATAGATAGGTAGGTGCGGTCAGTGTCACGGGACTGACAAAGGCTGACCGCCGGTACGGCATTCAAATGGTAATCGACTCGCTCGTCTAACGTACACCGACGCGCCCTACCCAACCCCGCTTCAAGGGGGTGCGAGAGCGGGCGCACCCTTCGGCACACAGCCGAGCACATTCGCACCAGAATCAAGCCAAATATTGGCAATATCATCCCCTGGCATTGTCCCTCGCCGCGATCTGCCTCCTGCCGCCACCGCCGTCGGTGGGAAACGATGTCCATTTGAATGCGCGATTCCATTATCGATGCCGGTATAGCGGCCCGAGAATATTACCGGATTAGGATTTAAAGGAAAACGAAATCTCGGCACAGTCGTAGAAACTCGGTCATTCTTGCGGAATATGTTGCGTTACTGCATACAACAGTAAACACAATCAAGTCGAAAAAGTAAAGGGATAAGTTCCGGTTTCATCCTCTCGATGTTTCGCATCTGTATTTTTGTTTGTTACTTAATTCGAGTTAATCCTAATAGATCAAACTTAAAGAAAAGGGTCGGAAACTATAAAACTAGCACAATTGAGAAAATTTAATATAAGGAAATATTATATATAAATATTTCATATAATTAAGCATATTATCTCTATTTTTCATATATAATAAAATGCCATATACATTAAATTTTTTAATCAAAATTTATATTTAAACTCTTTTGTATGTATCGCGGATAAAATATATTAAAAAAAATTAAGCTTGAAATTATTTTATTTTTTACCGCAGTGAAATGATGTAGCTATAATATCACAATATTTTTAATTAACATAAGTTAAGTGTTGCTCCATTCTTTTAAAAAATACACGAAACTGTGGTCATTTCTGCAATCACGTATCTTGCTTAATTAGCGTCATTTCGGCTGGAGTGCACCTGATGGGCTTATGATAGTCGGCGGTAATCCGGTTCAGGTCGTTGCGCCGATTATCTCGTAAAACGCGCTACCGGGATTCACCGTCCCGGACAGACGGACGAACGCGTCCGTTTGACGTTCACGAATAGATCTGCGCGATCCGCGATCGCTGTTGATTCAGGGTGTGCAATGTCGCACGTGCGCCAGTGTAGACGCACGCAAAGCTCCCGCAACCCGAACTTCAGCACGCGCCACGATTACGCGATTACGCGATTACGCGTGTCGTCTCCCCATCGTGCAGTCTGCACTGACGCTCCGAAGGAGAGATCGAACAAGCAATGACGCGGAAGATGATTCGCCCCTTTTTCATCCGTCACGAAGACTGAATTTACGTTGCGATAGAAACCGGCATCTGTCGGGAAAAAAAATAAACGAACGCTACTTTTTCCTCGAATTTCGAAATCTATTTATTTAACAATGAGATAGAATAACCAAGATTAAGATCAATCCAATGTCAACATCTAATATTTAATATCTATGACTAACTTTAAATATAAGAGAAACACGTATTACGTTTCTCCGTAATTATATCTTGAATAAACAATTTTTCTGAAAATTCTAGATGTGACAAATTCATTGTATAAAATAAAAGATTAATAATAATTTGGTTGTAATAAAAATGCAAAAATGGACCCCTGACCAACGAATGGAGTATTATTTTCTCTTTATACATCTCAGAATCCAAGGCGCAGGGATAATAACATTTAGAATGGCATGCGTGCGTACTGGCCGGGATTTTGCGTGTTCGCCTACGCAGCACAGCGGGAATTAAAGGACAGGCAGGAGGGAGTGATACGTACCGGCACGAGTCGACACGTGGCGGTAGCGCTTTATACAAACAGCATTATGCACGCTCGCGCTAACATAAATTACTGCGGGTTTAATATCGGACGCCGGCGTTGGCCGTGGCCGACCACCTCCTGAGCAAAATACGTTAAATGCGGGAAGAGCCCTGGACGCGTGCAACCGCGATTCGCGATTTCATGCTTTACTTGAGAAATCCCTCGAAGATTGATATCCCCGACATTTAAATAGTTACATATATATATATGTATGAATTATGTATAAAAATAATAAAGAATCATCTTGACAGAAATCATACAATATATGAGATATTTGTATCTCTGTCTCTCTGTTTACGATGAAATTCTTCATTTCTGTTCAATTGACCGGCTGAATCCAAACGAGCAAGAAAGAAAACGCGTATGAATGGTATTATTGGTGAAAAGCCTCCTCCGAATTCTATAGTAGGCCCATTCATGACACGAAAGTATCCGTAAAAGACTTCAGGAAAGTTTGAGCTTAGGAAATATCTCAATACCAACCGCGAAAGCGAGAATAAACGGAAGGAAGGATAAGTGGATATCCCATGGAGAGTGATGCGATGCAGGCCATTCGCATGAGGTTTAAGGTCGGCATCATTTATGAACGAGGATCGAAATCCACGCGAGCTGCGAGTCAATTCGAGTGTGTTACTCTACACACTCTTAATCCCGAAGAAGCAGACCGCGAGACCGGATGCGGCCTCTTGAGTCCCGAACGGATTGGCATTGTTTGCTGTAGGTTTACACAAAATGAAAGAGCGTAACGGTGTAAAAGCAATTAGTCCGAGAATAACAGTGTAGCGAATACTTTCGTTTTCATTAATTAAAGAAGGGAAAATTTTTTTAAATGCAAAAATTACTAGAGTGATATTAAAATAAAAAGAAAAAGTCGTACAAAAATAAATTCGAGATAAAATAATAACATTCCGATTCTCTTTATTTCTCTGCTTTCGGTCGCAAATAAAAGGAAGTTCCCGGAGAGAAATGAAAAATATATAAAAATTTAGCTTGTTGTTATTTAAAGTCTCTCTAAAACATATGAATTGGCAATAATTCTAAATTTTCTTGCATACTTCTCTCGATAAACTAATCGAACGACTCGTTGACAGGACTTCGCTTTTAATTCGCGACATTAAAATTACGGCATGTCTCGATTAAAAAATTGAACTGTATACTTTATATTCTTAAGAAGAAGTGTTGGGATAGGTCGCGCTATAATGGCCCAAGCGTTCTACGTTCGGAATCCTTATCCCGTGCCGGATATCTCCCGGGAAGGAACCTGGATATCACGCGGACCCGTGTTGGGAGATAAGGTCTCACCGTCGGATAAAGACTGGAACGTCAAATTGAGCGCTCACGAGCGTCTCTTCGCTCATCACACCTTGAACAGCATCCGCAGGGATCGTCGACTCGTCAGACCGCAGGTTTGATATTTGATATTGAAAGTAAAACTTTGTATTAAGTCTATATATATATATATATGAAACTCTCTTTTACAGGTTCCGACCGACGCTCTCGACTTGGCGCTAAATAGCGTTTACGCTCACAGTCGAGATACTCTAGTTTCGAAGATGTACGTGACCATTCAACCGGAAACACTCAGCAGAGAAACTTGGCGTGTTTTACGAAATGAAATTAAAGTAAAGTTGAATTAAATATATAAACGCATGATTCATATAGTTAGGTATATGAAATATAAGTATATATTTGAACATAAGATAAGAATATATTTGAACATTTTTAGATTTTATCAGAACCACCTAAACCAGATAGACCAGTGCACGTGAGCGGTCATTCCGACGAGGAACTTAAATCGGTAGTTCGAACACCTTTATCAGCGGACAAATCGAGGTGTCATAGCGGACCAACTTTACCGCGGAGAATTCATCCGAGCAGCGTGAAATTAAATATCGAGGGTCCTCATATGGACCAATCGAATCCCGGATACAGTCGCAAAATCGACGGAACTTTTTACAGTATTTAAACACGGATTTGGGCGGTGTTTGAGCGGCACGCTTGGAGAACGTTCGGATTAAGCTGAAACCTGCAATTCGCCGAATGAAGCTCCCGCTTTTACAAATACCATTATCGCTATTGGCATAATCTGGTGAGATTTACGTTTTGGAACACTCCGAGAAACGGTGAATCGTCAACGCGAGCGTGTTACAGACGCGAATTTGATCATATCAAAAGACTTTTGTATATCGCAAAGACACATATGATTAAATCGCATCAATCGTCGCCATTATTTCGCGGCGTGAACGAGTATCCGATTATCTGTGCGAAACTAATCTGATCATGTTGACAAATTTATCCAGCGGCTCACGAATTTGCCTTGACTATCACGAGCAGAGATCTCCCAACTGCCGCTCGTACTTTCGTCCCTTCGACAGTTCGAAATGCAGGCAGCCCGAAGATCGACGGAACAAGTAGACAGAAGCGTGAGTCAGTGCGCACCAAGTTCTCACTGCTGAGCTCGACGCGACAGTGAGCTGAAGGGACAGAATGTTCCATTACCCGGGTAATCCTTGTTTGTAATAAACCAGCGCCCCGCTGCCAGCCCGGGGTGACAGCGAAGCCACCCTCGCCGAGAGCTCGCGCGGAGGAGGAGTCATCTCCGCACGCATATGCTCCTCATGAAATATCATTTATGCTTCTCACCCCGCGCGCAAACGTCTATCTTGCGACCCGTTTGACCCTGCTCGCAACCCTCCAACCACCCTCTCACCCGCCAGGCCGAGTAGGCAGCACGATCCTTATACATACGTCTAATCCGGCCATGATTGCCCCGCCGACGAAAACTCCACCTCGGCTATGAGATGTAGTATACTACCCTTCCTCTGTCTGACCCCATTCTCCTAGCTCCTTTAAAACGCTTTTTGACGAACCTCGCAACGGCGCGAGATGATCAATTTTCTCGCTCGCGCGCGTTCAAGCTTTCCTTCATTATTTTTGTATTAAAAGTTAACGGAATATTTTACATCACCGTAAATATATTTCAATTTGTATCGAATTCCTTAGCTGAACACGTTACTATTGTACGATGTCTCATAGATATATCATTTATGATTGTTTCGATTAATCATAAACTCGCTTTGATGATAGTAATTTTTCTGCGAATTACGTCGCGTCGCGTGTCTATTGACGCGAATCCGTTTTCTTCCCCAATACAGCGGTGGAGAGAGGTACCGAGGCTATAAGGGTAGAACGATCTCAGACGGTCGCAGGCAACGAGCGAGGTTACCAGCCAATTACTTGGCTGAGCGGTTTTATTTGTATTTAATTCTTATTTAATTTACTTTTTACGGTCGCGCGGGCGCGTAGTTTTGCCGCCGCCATTAAGAAAATGGAAGTCTTCTTCGTCATTGCAAATTAACGGCCGGTCGCGATCTGTCCCATCGGATGCAATCAATATAGATAAAAATGCTATCAATTACGCGACACAGCATTTGACAGTGAAATTCGCATTTGATAAAAACATTAAACTGCACGTATGAAGACATATAAACCATTACTCATAAATTTATAATAAAACTGATCAAAAAGGAACCGTCAGGTCAAACCGTCCAAATAAATACAATTAATTAATGACGTATAAAACTTTAAATATTAAAAATCAATTTTAGTAAACATAGAAATTGTTATTTTTTTCAAGATACATTTATACAAGTAATGACTGAACGATGATGCTACTATCGCATAAACCACGTTTGGACTGACTTCGCTCTATCTATTCGATTCTTTCACGCGTACGCTTTTCCAGAAGGAAATTCTGCGTGAAAGTCGAAGCAAAGTCACATTGATCCCTCCAGGATGAAGCTGTTATTCCACTGAACTTGTTACGTTATATTTATCAGCGCGGTGCACACTGGCATTACCCGTCCGGTTTTATCGTTCCTTTCGGATTTCGTTCTTCCACCGCCGTTTCAGCTAAATAGACAAAGCCGCAAATGACATAACGAATAATAAGCAGCAACATATTAAATTAATCAGATAGCATATATTACGTAAATTCCATTTTTTAATCCACTTTCCTTTTCTATAATTAAATAAAATATTTTATATTTCTATATATAAAATGTATAAGAAAATTGCATTAAATAATAAATCTGAGATTGAAGTAAATATTATGATAATGACTGATAGAGACAAATGTCATAATCTGTACTATGATTTTTTGATTTTGAAAACAATAATATTTCCTTTTTGTCAACTTTTTAAGCATGTTTACTTATAATATTAGATCCTTTATGATTCATTAATATAAGTTTGTATATAATTTAGATATTTATGTATCAAATTTTTGATTTTTATACTTTAATTGTATATTCAAAATAAACTTAAAATAGAACTTCATTATTATAAATCAATAAAATACTTTTATTGATAATACTTATTGAATTTAATTAAGTAGTGTATAATCCTATAAAATTATATCTTGATTTCAGTTTATTTACATTTCTCAACCTTCAGTGACAAAAAATAGAGAGAGAAGAGAGGGGAGGTCTCTTTAAATAGAAACTTATCAAGAGATGTTGGCTTAGAAAACTTATTTTTTCATTTTTGCTCAATATGATTGCACGCGTTAACACGTAGTGTTTACTTAATGTTTTAAAATGATTTTAAAACAACTTGTCCCAAAGGGAAAGGAGTATCTAGTGACGTGGGTTGACATTACATGTCACGTGATTTTGAATGCGGTGGGAACCAACGGGGAACATTCGTCGTGTTATCATTTCTCGTATACGAGCTTTAAAGGATACCAACTACGAGTCGAACGAAAATATCAGCGTCACTGGAAATACATTTCAAGAATATTATTTTTGCATCGACTTACAAAATGCATATATTTTTTACTAATCTAATAAAATTCATATTTTGCAAAATTTGTCTTTTCCTTTCTTAAAGTATTTTCAAATATTTTTGCAAATCAAATATTACAAAAATATCAATACTAATTTCAATCTTACATAAAATATTGTTTACATAAAAAAAATAAAAAATTTAACGGTATTTGCTTCTTGGACAATTGCTAAACACATCGCATTTACTATATATACGTTTCCTCTAATCTCAAAATAAAAAGAGCGGGATAAATTTTAGTATTGCGCGCAGCACTTTTTCTTGATGTTCCGTGAGTGGGCAGACGGAGGTAGCAAGAGAAGGAAGAGAAAGGCGGATTAAAACACAGGGCGAGAAAAGGCGTCTAAACGATGGTGGAAGGTCAAGCCTGAGATTACGACAGACCCGTGCGACGTTTGCTCGTTAATTAGGGAGTTCTAATTATAGTAAATGCGTGAGCCCGGACGCAGTGGTGGCGCGGAGAGATCGTGCCACGGCGGAAGCTCCGGGGATCAAAATGCAACCCTCCGCGAACGAGCCAAGATTACCTTCGAGGGTCCTCGGGTGCTTCCCTCGCTAAGGCTCGACCCACAACCTGCGCGACGACGACCGTTCTCCGCATTTCCCTTCTGCCTCTCCTCAATCTATTCACCATTCCCCCCTCGCGTCTCCTCAGCTATACTCTCAGATATCACCTAAAATAACAACGTCCTAGGAAACGCGCTTGGGCGGATAGATTTTACTGCTGGTGGTGTATAACAAATGGATTAGTATTTCGGTAGACGTCTAATCCGCTTTCGTTGCGACCCCGGAGATTATTTCGATTATCTGGATCTGATTTTAGTTAATTAACGCAATCTCTCCGCCTACTTTAAAAACCACGTCCAGTGTTCTAAATTTTTCCTAGATTTATCTTCGATTATTATATCGATTATGATTACAAGGCGTGATTTATTACAATTACTAAACAGAATGTATTGTTCACTTTTTCATGTGGTAAATAAGTAGACGAGCCAATATAAATAGAGTGACATTCCAAAATTAGACTACATCATAACTACATTTATTTTTTGACATTTATTATTATTATTATTATTATTATTATATACTTTTCGTAAATTATGACAAATACAAAATATTAAGATATATAATTTATCAATCATATGTTGCAGATTTTTTTACAAAGTTTAAAATTAATCCCGTTTAATAAAGTTCTTATTTGAAGTTCTTACATGAATGCAAGAACAACAGGAATGCAAGGCACATAAACGGGGAGATACGTACAGTTACGATTAAGGATTATTTGTCCAGAATTTCGAGATTGTCTGTCGTACGTCGGTCGCACCCACTTACAGCCGCGAGTAGGGTAAATATCGATGTAGAATCCGCGTGAGTGAGAAACGTGACGGAACGAACAGCACACAACGGCAATATACATGTGCGCCGATACGATCCCCGGCGTCGTCGTCGACACGTGGGAACGCGGACACGCGTCCTCGTCGCCCCTCTAGCACCCCCTGCGTGCCCCGACGCGACGCAGTTCCGAGGGTTTGTTTCTGCCATCTCGACTCTCTTGAACATTCGCGACACATCTCATCATGCAAATTATTAGCGGGAGACCGTGGATACGATCGATTGCAACAATAAATCGCGATATTTCGTACAAAGTCAATCTTACTCGAGCACTTCATACAAACAATGTATCAATATTGGGATAATAAACAATAAAAAATATGTCAAAGTAAAATATGTATTTTTTTTATCTTACTTTAACATTTTAATTGATGATTTATTCCGTTCTACATCATTTTAATTTAAATATTTTGCGTATCTAAATATGTTTTGGGTTTTTTATTAGATCTACGTGTATTTTCAATATAATAAGCATTTGTACGCGCGACTGAAATCGCGAGGTATTTCGTTTCCAACCACCGCGTGAGTGAGAAACGCGTTTCGACGGAGATTGCCGCCATCCCCAGCGCGTTTTCACCCCTAAAGGTTTCCCTACGGTCGCCGACGGGGAGCGCACGTCGCGTCGACTCACAGACGCGGAAAATCTGACGGATGCGAATACGCGACGCGTATAACATATCTATAGGTCGCACACGTATGGCATTCGGAGGGCGGACACGTAACAATTAT